TTTACCCAGACATACTCTCCACTATTACATAACCACAGATTTTCCTAAACTTTCTCTTCCCTCTGAAATTCATTGTCCATCCCACCCTATTTTTTAAGTTTAAATGCTTATCAAATTTTTACTAAAAGCTACTATTTATATGAAAAATATTGCTGCTTCTCTCTTTCCAGGCACTAGGCTAGATGCTTTTGATACACTCTCTAATTTATGTTTAAAATATCCCTATAAATTATTAGTCAGGAGTCCTAGAGATGTAGTGATTGCTCATTGGGCTGCAATCTGCATGGTCTGTAGTTCAAAGGCTCAGCAGCTCCTGCGGAGGAAGACTGGGCTTTCTACTCCCATAAATAGATTTGGAAACCCACAGGGGTCACTTTGAGTCAGCTCTGACTCGATGGCCGTGAGTTTGCTTTTGTTTGTATAAATTGTTATTGGTCTCATTATATAATAGCAGACAATGAATATTGTGCTTGTTACGTGCCATCCAGTTAATTCCAGCTCATAGGGACACTATGCACACTGCCTGGTCCTGTGTCACCTAACAATTGTTCTTATGTTTGAACCAATGTTTGCAGCCACAGTTTTCCATTCACCTTGTTGAGAATCTTCCTTTTTTTCACTGTTTCTCTACATTACCATGATGTCCTTCTCTAGGGACTGGTCTCTAAAGACAACGTGTCCAAAGTACACGAGAGGAAGTTCTCACAGCTAATGCCCTCCAAAGACTGAGATTTGGAGGCTCCAAAACACATCCTATCCTCCCTAGCCAGAGGTTAGCACACATCCCATTTATTGACCGGCTCAAAGGTTCCCGGCAGTAGAGATGCTCAATGGAATAAAACATGCTTCTTCCCTGATGCCTTATCAATCCTCGGTTCTCTAGGCAGAAGGTATTGTTCCCTTCCAGCAATGCTAGATTTAGAAATGTAAGTAGACCCTGTTACCTTCTTATCTGATTATGTTCTTGTCTTTCCCTGGTTGCACAATGTTTACAAGGCGCTCTGCTAGCCCAAAGGTCTGCAATTCGCATCTACTCTGCATGAGAAAGGTGTCGCTTCTGTAAATAGAGCCTTGGGAATCCTATGGGACAGTTCTCTGCAGGACAAAATTGACATGAGTTGAAATC